CGTCTATAATGTTTAAAGCTGGAGTATCTGACTTTGAAACCACAAACAATAACTGTGCAGTACAATACATGGAACCACCACCAAATCTGCTTGGTTCTATTAGTAGTTTCAACACCTGTGGATCAGATATTTCAGTAAAAAAAACAATACCTTTCTTCCGCTTTATCCGCTGCCAGTTTTGAGGGGCAGCAGTCTAAGCAGGGACGCCCAGACCTCCCTATCCTCACACATATACATACACACGCACGCTTCCTCCAGCTCATCCAGACGTGTTCCCAGGCCAGATGAGAGTCACAAACAAATAAAAAAACACATAACATTTCTTAAAATTATAACTATAACTATAATTCAAATACAATAGATTTCTAATTCAATATTTTTTGGCTTAAGTCTTGTGTGCAACTAACACTTAGATTCCCAAAAATGGCATGCTCTCAGTTTAGTACAAAGTCTGCCATATCTTCTTTGTTTTGGTTTTGTTCTGATCTCATTGTTCTCCCAGTGTAGAGATGTCCTTTTCATCCTCCAGGGCTTTTAAATCTTGGATTGAGAGACGTGTGGAGGAATAGCTTCTCGGTCTTTGTGAGCGTCTCTGGAGCTCCGTGACTTCAGTAGCGAGGGAGAAAGAAGTGCTGGCTCCGTGGATCTGTCTGAGGCAGTGTCACAGCCGCACCATCCGTCAGGGCTTCAGAGTATGCAGAGCCATGGGGGAATTTCCTGTTTGCCATGGGGCTAAAGTGGACTTAGCAAGACGCCAGAGTGACCACATACAGATAAATATTGGCCCTAAAGCTGGACTGGTTCACTCACACCGGTTACTTCAACATGTCCATTTATCTTTGCTCATATTAGGGAAATGCTGATTATTTATTATTTACTATAGGAAGCGTTGCCTTTGAACCTGAGTGTTGTAGAATCGAGCCCATCATGAGATCTTTTACACCTACTCCCACGTCATTGTGTCCTTGGCCAAGACACTTATCCCCACTTTGCCTGAAGCCCCGACTGAAAGATGAAGGCTGTTTCGTCCATCTGCAGGATGATCAGGGAGGGGCTCATGCTCTGTGAATTGAATGAAGCTCTGACTGCCACCCCCCAACCCAGAAATGGATTCAGGGGAAGAAAATGGATGGATGGATGGATACTTTGAGAGACTTTTTATTCATGCATTATAATTGAGCTTTCAACTTGGACTGTCATTGACGATTATTTTGAAATGTGATTAGTTGTTTAGATCCTGGAAGATTAGTGGATTTTTTTGTATTTGATGTTGCCCTTTCAACCGATTAGCTAATTAAAAAGGTTGCCCCTTAAAAGGCTATGAAAATTATCATGTATCTGACCCAAGTAAAACCAAAATATAGTAATAGGGTTCTGGCTTGAATTCCAAATCTTCTGGCAACAATTTGAAACGTTTGTGACTCTAAATTCTAGGCCTGAATTAGATCAGGAATTGTTTATAACTACTCAGAAAAGGTCCAATTTAATGTATACAGTATTTTTCTTAATATGACTTTTGTTTTGTTACGTTAATATGACCAACTGTATATTTGAGTGATGAGGAATATCAACATTTAACAACAATTCTGACTTTGATGAGACCAGTGCATTTAAGCAATAAGTCTTCCTGTATAAGTTTTCTGTATGACAACAATATACATCCTCAAAATATAATGTCATGAGCAGGAGACAGAATTTTGTGGAGCTATATTTCCTGTCAAAGAAATGAATAAAACCCAACCGTAACATTATGTAGATTTTACTGCAAAATAAAACCGTCTTACGCATTTCCAATTCTTATGCGAGGAAGCTGCGGTGGTTGCAAAACGAAATAGGTAAGATAGAAACAAGCTGATCTTAATCTTACCTGCTGAGAAACCAACCGTACATTTTAAAAGTGATGTTTCCAACACAGTGTTATCAAATAATGATCAGACCTTGACATAAGTGGAAATCGCAGCCAATTTCCGACGCACTTTCCTCTCCTCCGTGCACACTGAGATATCTGCAGAAAACCACTCAACAATCTCTTGCCGTTCCTGGACCTATGGCAAACGTGTCCATTATTCAATTTGCCTTTTTGCATATTTCACTATTCATAAGACCGTATTTTGACTCCCAGGGACGTCTGCAGCCTTCCGACTTTCTCATTTGAATGTTTTTAATCTCTGCCGGATCGCAAACCATTCCCAATGATATGCAAAATCTAATACAACGTCTGCTTCTTCCGTCGGGGTTTGCTTTATCTGCTGGGCTCGGAGCGAGGAACAAGCTTTTTTTTGCGATGACGTTGCAGGAATGAAGTATTGGGAGACGGCATGGGGTCTAAGATGGCCCTACTTTGTCCAGTTGGATGTGCCTCGCTAACTTTTCAAGATAAAGTTCTTAATTAGAGTTCTTAGACTTACTTTGCTTAATGTATCCATCAGAACATATCAATTATGCAAACATTTTCCCAAGACCTCTTTCCTGAATACAGAGAACTCATGAATAGTCGGCAAATTATACAAAGCCCTCCATATTAGAGGTGATTTTAGTATTAAAGCTGGGGGTACTGTACATCGTTCAGTGTGTAGTTTGTTCCATGGGAGTTTTGTAAAGAAATACTGGGAATTAACAGCAGTATGTTTACATCTGTACATTAGCAGCAGTATGTTTACATCTGTACATTAGCAGCAGTATGTTTACATCTGTACATTAGCAGCAGTATGTTTACATCTGTACATTAGCAGCAGTATGTTTACATCTGTACATTAGCAGCAGCATGTTTACATCTGTACATTAGCAGCAGTATGTTTACATCTGTACATTAGCAGCAGTATGTTTACATCTGTACATTAGCAGCAGTATGTTTACATCTGTACATTAGCAGCAGTATGTTTACATCTGTACATTAGCAGCAGTATGTTTACATCTGTACATTAGCAGCAGTATGTTTACAACTGTACATTAGCAGCAGGGAAACATCCTTTCCCTGGATGTTCACTGGGGCTGGAGCGGCAAAGTGACGTCTGCGGAAATCCACCACCATCTCCTTGGTCTTCCCCGAGTAATACTATAATAAGCGAAAAAAAGTAAATCGTGCACAAAGCAGGCTATCCTCATATTATTACAAAATAAGTGAAATTTGGCAATCCACGTGTTGTAAGAAAGAGCCAGGCTGTGACTCACTATTTGTCTTTGGACAGAGAGCTGATTGGCTGATTGAGGGTGGTCGTCTCTGTTACAGTTTTCTGTCAGAAAAAGCTGCTCTGAAGACGTGACTGAGGACAAAAGTACATCATGTGAAAACTAGTGATAGAACTACACGGTTGGAACCACTTACACTCACAGTTCTGCTCTTTCTATTGTGTGAATAGTGCTTGCTTTATAAATGTTCTTTTAAAATGATGTAGAGAAAAAACACATATTCAGGGCAGCTATAACCTTGAAGCCACATATTTCCATATAATGTCCTGAGTGCAGTAGTTCTATCCATTTTTACATATTAAGCAGACTACGAGTACAGAATATGAACTTATATAAGGAATGAGGTACGAAACTTTCAAAGAATAACAAATATAATAAAAGCCATCTGGATTCTGGATAGTTCCTTGCCCTCTAATGATGGTGAAAAACCTCCTAGAATTTGTTTTCAAACGCATGTCTTTTTTGGCCTCTGAAACAGCTCGATCATGCCTTTTTTCTGACAGAAAATTTTAAAAAGAGAGGACAACTCTTCAGCTTTCAGTGACTGGCTCAGAAATACTGATAATTACTTAATTCATGGCCACAACAACTTTGCAAGACTATTTAAGATAATTTATTAGGGACCATTTTGTCATATACAGCAGTGAAGGTTTCATGAAAAAGCAAAGAGAATCCAGTTACAATTGTGCACTTTTTTGTGTTACTGTTTTTATCGCCGCTGCACATGTGTGTCACCAGCCCCTCATACACGCCCTGATTTTGGAAAGTCAGAAGATTCCACAGAAAGAATGCATAAAAGCAGCATTTGTAATAGTTTGAACCTCATTCTCAGGTGAAATTATGTTCTTTATGATCATTTTGCAGCAGGTGATTTTCAAATTTGGAAACAAAAAACAAAGTACTCCTCTATTCTCCCTCTAGTGGTGGCATTTGGAGTTACAGGTCAATAGAACTATCCTCAAACCTTTTTTGCCTTATATTTTCCACTGAAGATATGATTTCACATTCTTAAACCTGAAACGAAAAGTAAATATAGTCTCAATATCATTTTGAATGGCTCAAAATACCTATTACTTAAACTTGGGTGTTTTGATTATCCACCGAAACATTTTGATGCAGCTTAGACTTCATATCGATCCAATTTCTCTTCATTTACTTAAAGGTCGTTTCACTTTTCAACAGAGACCAAAAACCTTTCTAAAAACCCTCTGAAATCTAAACTCTCCGTTCTAATGCTCTAAGTTCTATGTTCTAAGCCCTCTGACTCATCCTGCCCTTCCCGTTGACCTTCAGAGCACATTATCCCCCTCATTTAATTGTTTGATTGGCGAGAACAAAGACTCCCAGCTCACATGGCACCTGCCTGTGCTCCAGTGAACCCTGCATCCCCCTAGAACGCGTGACAGCCACACCACTGAACCGTTTCCCCTGGCAGCTGTGGATTGGATGCGCTAAATGGCATTCTCTCGCCCCTGTAATTGGCTCCAAAGAGACCTGTTTTTGCTGTTGATATATACATTGTACAGAGGCGACGCGTTGGGAGATCTGAGCTGAGAAAGTGTATTTAAACTTCCTTCTCCTCCCGCAAAAGTTTTATGAGCCACGTCAAGCAGCGTTTTATAATTAATCGGGGCGAAATTCATTGTCTTTATGATGTCATTATGTGATTTTTACGGCCTTGGAACCAACAGGCAGGGTATTGATATTGTCAGTTTTATTTGCAGCAGTCGGAACCAGTCCACGGGAGACGTGTTATGGGGCTATCGTTGGAATAGGATTAATAATAAAGTAAAATCTGTCTTTTTCCACAGGTGGGAGATTCAAGAAAGAAATAGTGGTGGATGGACAGAGCTATCTTCTTCTGATCAGAGATGAAGGAGGGCCTCCGGAATTACAGGTACAATTACAAGCCATTTTATCTTCACTATTTCATTCACAACCTTTGCCCTACCTGCATGCTAAAGCCAGACCTCTGAAGCTAAGCAGGGCTGGGCCTGGTTAGTGCTGTGATGGGAAACCTCTGGGAACACCAGGTGCAACAGTGGGGTGGCTGCGGCTGTAAAGTGCCAAACTGTTGTTGTGTCCTGAGGCTTCACACACATTGCGTAGAATCAGTCAGGTGTGTGTGAGTGGTGGTCAGAGGGGCCGAAAGCACATACTGGTTGCCTCGCTCCTGTCAGTGTGCCCCAGGGCAGCTGTGTCTACAGATTTAGTAGTAGTCCAAAAAAGCGCCATATAAAACTAATGCATCATTGATAACCTGAGTGTCGAGGTATGCACTGTCCGATACTAACACTAGAATATTCAAAGATTGGAGCCGATTTTTTGGGGCAGGTATCATTCAATGATATTGGTTCTTATCCTGATTGATGCAATATTACATGAAATGGCCTTCTTTCATTTTTTTTTTTTTTCATTTCATTTCATTTCATTTTTCTCATCCTTGTAGAAAACCTGGTAATATATATTTTCTTTTTTCTTCATTGACCCCGGGAAGTACTTACTCCTCCTAGACTTATTTTACAAGGCGTAGTTTCTCTGGCTGATCTTAACCCAGAGCATTTCAGTTTTCAGTTTTACAATAAAAAAAATTTCTATCAATGCTGTTAAATAAGACAATCTCTTTTTTCGCTCGGTCGGTATCAAATCCGGATTACCAGCTTCACATTTGTCAAATGATCCGCAGTTAAACACATATTAAACATGTCTGTCAGGTATTCATTTAATGGATTATGCTTGAACCGATAAAAGAAGTAGCATGAAATGAATGAACGTCGCCTCTCATCATATCTGACCTGTCGCTGCTGCCGACACTGTCTCCATGGCGATAGGAGGAGGAGGTGTTTAATGCCATTCTGTGGAACATTCTGACAAAGTAAAACAACATTTATAAAGACAAACACATGATGATTACCACTTTATCTTTCAATCAATCAGTCAATTTCTATAGTACAGTTCATACAGAATGCAACTCAAAAGGGCTTCACATTCACAAGATTTAAAACCAATTAAAATTACACTGTAAAATCCATACAAATAGAAATAACATACAAAAAACTGTATAGAACAACACCATGATCGTCACAGGCATAGCTTGAAAATGTACTGTGATAATGTGAAACAATACATCATACTAAAAAAAAAATCAATCATGTTCAAAGTAAAGGTGAAACTAGAATATATTAGATATGGTCTCTAAACAATCTTCAATCATGGGTTCACATCGTAACTTAAGAACTAGCTTCATTATATTCTACGTTTATTCTAAGCTATTCTAAATTTGAGTTTCACCTGTATTTCTTTATGTTTTAATTTAAAATGAAACATGCAGAAAATAACTGTCTTGCCGGATGAAGAATGGGGAGGGATAAGGAACGAGTAGATCATAGGGACAGCAGAGCATGTTCGATGTTTTGCAGATAAAGCCCGACAAGGCAGACTGAGATGGTTTGGATGAGACGGAGGAGAGATAGAGTAATCTATAAAGGGACCTTGTGGCAGCTCAAACCTCAGCATCCAAGAGCCCAACCACAGACGAGATTTATGAAGACGGTGAAAGAGGGCCTGCAGCTGTAGAGAAGATGCATCCTGTGTGCTTAGATACGGCTGTTTTATTTGTTGTCAAAAGATATTACGCCTTTGTGTTTTCTTTTTTTTTGTTCTTTCCTGTTCTGTCTTGCAGCTTACCATAGTCCAATATTGTGAACGTCTTAAGCCTCCTGCTAAAGCCGTGATAGGAATCATTATCAAGCTGAAGTTACAAAACAAATGGATCACAAAGCAAAGCCGAGGAGACGCACTGCAGCATTATACAACCAGCTGCTTTCTAATCAATCATGGCTAGCATCGGAACATTGCGTTTATTTATGGATATGTGCCATCATTTTAATTCAATTCTATATATTCTTGTATTGCTTGCTTGCAATTGACGTCACGTCCGCCTCATTACATATGCGTATCACGAAGTGGTGGTCATATGAGCTAGTTGTTCACTAGAGCAGCGTGTCTGAATATGCCTTTTGCGTGTGTTGTTTTAAGTTTTCTAAACGATCGAATCGCAAAACCTTTAATGGATACTTTAGGATTCCTCGTGAAGAGATTAACAAAGGGCCTCGCAGGACTTTACGACAAGACGCAGGAAAAGTGACTAGCAAGCATTTCACTAGCAAACGCTTTTACCTCGAAGGATTATTTATTTACCCAGCCGTGCAGTCACAATGTGCCGTTATTACATCCCCATCTTTATTTAATTGTCAGGTATGAGTTGGCGTTTTAAATAAACACTGAATGTTTGACCTGAATAGAACACAACACAGACGCATTGTTTTGTTGAAAATGATAAATTCATTCACCAATCGTTTCTTACACGGCTCTGTACGATGTAGGATTTGTCCTTCAGGACCTTAACTCCGAGCTCCTTAACCCACAGACAGACGGAAAAGTTGCAGCATCCATGTTTTTCCAAACCTTCATTTGTTTAGCAGTGCAAAAGCTTGACTGAAACACTAGCTGTGGATTAGAATCTAAAGTGAAGAAAATGACAGTCTAGGATCGTGTCTTTAATTCAGACAGAAGACATTTTATTGTCGATGGTAGAGGCAGCATAAACAAAGACATTACAGAATGTAAGTGACATACAGCGGAGGAATGGAGACTTATTAGCATTATTAGCATGTTAGCATTTGCCGCGGTGCCAGTAGCTTCAACCTTGATAATACCAAAACATGTCGTGGAAAAATTCTGCCTTGTGCATATTGTTAGAATGATGAGCTAGAACGTTCACCACAGTAGCTTCAAAGTGTCATGAAATATCCAAAAAAGCAAAATAATACTCGGGAGAGTCGCATTTTCTCCATATATCAGCAGCAACTCTTGCTGGCCTGACCACCACTTCTTCAACCGGAAGTTTATGTCACGTGATTGCAAGCAAGCAATAGCCCTAAATCACAACAGTAGTTATCTCAGAGGACTTGGACAAAACTGTTGAGTTTGCCAACACAGATCAGAGAAACAAACAGTTCAAACAAAAAGAATAGAAAACACAGGTATTGGTCCATAGGAGGGAGTTGACCAATGTCCATAAGTGTTGATAAATGACTATAAAAGTTGATAAATGTCAAGTGTCTCAAAAAATCTCGAAAAACTGAGTGTGTAATTACTGATATATAAACAAGGACAATTTTTACTTTGCTGAACTTAGTTAATCAGAATCAGAATCAGAATCAGAATCATTTTTATTGCCAACGTAAGTAACAGGAGGTCACAGACTTGGAAATTGCTTTGGCTCAGTGCAACAGTCAAAAAGAGATAACAAAAATAAGAATAAAAAACACTTCTAAAGAATAAATTTAAATTTAAAATAGAGTTACAGTTACTATTTACAATATACAAGTGCACATGGTGCACACAATGTAAGGTGACAGCAGTACAGTGAAGTAAAGTGACGTATGATGGGCAGTAAAGTGACTTTATAAAGGGCGGGGGGACAGCTTAAGAAGTGTTCAAGAGTCCAACAGCAGAGGGGAAGAAACTGTTCTTGTGGCGGGAGGTTCTAGTCCTGATGGACCGCAGCCTCCTGCCTGAGGGGAGTGGTTGGAATAGTCCATGTGCAGGGTGAGAGGGGTCGGCTGTGATACGACCAGCCCGGCCTCGAGCTCGGGCGACGTACAGGTCCTGCAGCGATGGAAGGCTGCGGCCGATCACTTCCTCTGCAGAGCGCACAATGCGCTGTAGTCTCTGTTTGTCCCTGACTGTGGCTCCAGCGAACCACACGGTGATGGAGGAGGTGAGGATGGACTCGATGATGGCCGTGTAGAACTGCACCAACATCTGTGCAGGCAGCTTGGCTTTCCTGAGCTGCCGCAGGAAGTACATCCTCTGCTGGGCCTTCTTGATGAGGGAGCTGATGGTCGGCTCCCACTTGAGGTCCTGGGTGATGGTGGTGCCCAGGAAACGGAAGGACTCCACAGAGGTGATGGGGGAGTCCATCACGGAGGGTGGGGGTGGGGGGACAGTGCTCTTCCTGAAGTCCACAATCATCTCCACTGTCTTCTGGGCGTTCAGCTCCAGGTTGTTACCACTGCACCAGGACACCAGCCGGTCCACCTCCCTCCTGTAGGCGGACTCATCGTTGTTGGAGATGAGTCCAATGAGGGTGGTGTCGTCCGCGAACTTGATCAGCTTCACGGAGTCGTGGCTGGAGGTGCAGTGGTTGGTGTACAGGGAGAAGAGCAGGGGAGAAAACATATATCTTGAGTTATTTCAAACAAGATTAACTGTGCTCCATGCGTTCTCAAACTATTAAAAAAACTCACACCAAAAAAAGGCCATTAGTGAGTGCTGAGACGATAATGATTGGAGTCAGTCTGTAGAATTGATTCCCAGTCAATAAAAGCAAAATCTCCAGCTGCTAAAACCACTCTACAGAACAGGGAATCTTCCATGTTGGGACTCATTTAACGTTTATAACTACTACACCTGGATGTCTTCAAAATAACAGCCCTAATCGCATAAAAACAACTACTTGCCTGCATTCCCTCTGTCTGCTCTCTCTGCTGTTCACATAAACATAATCAACAGCTGACAGAGCCATGTTCAACTACTTGGAATACTCTACTACAATAATTTACATTGGCTGTGTCGCTATTTAGGCCGGAGAGTTGAAAGAAATTGGCCTTGCTTGGGCTCTTGGACTGATTTATTGACCTTTTATACTTGGATGAGTACCAACATTTGTGGTAAAATACAAAACTGCCTTCATGGTTGATACTTCGGTACAAAGAGGACAGAGAAAAGGAAACTAAATGGTCACAAATCACATTTCTACAGCGCTTCTCTATGTTTTCAAGGCTCTCAAAGCGCTTCACGTCAAAGAGCCAATCACCCATTCACACACAATCGCATGCAGACACTGGAGGCGAGGCGGGCTAAGTGTCTTGCCCAGGGGTACAATAGCTATCACCAATGGGAACTGGTTTCACATCTGCGGGTCAGTTGTTCTGGCCTCTGTTTATGTGGGGAGCAAATTTCAAACTGCAGACATTCAGCTTTGACGACACACGCTTTACCAACTGAGCTACTGCCGCTGTTAAAGCAGACACTACAATACATATATTAAAACAAATGCAGGTCTAACCCATAGTTCCATTTTTATTATATATTTCACCATTCTAAATAATCACTAGCAATTTTATGATGAATTGATTCTCCCATTGTCCATCATCAGGGCTGAAAATATCCAGTTTATCACATTATTTTGTTTCTAAAAAGCTTTGATTACCAATCTGTTTCCTCAATTATTCTGGTAATTTTCTCACTACTTTAATATTTGTGACACTGTTGCACATCAGTGCTCTAATTCTAATACTTGTTTCACCAAGAAATATTCCTGTTTATGCCGACACAGCTCTGTTTTGCAATTAAGAAGTTTGTATGTGAAATTATCTGAAGAATATTTGTTATAAATATGATTCACTCTTGGATGGACTTCCGGTGGGTTGCAGGTGTGCACGCAGTAGCCTGAACCAGCATGCTAGATTAAAAAAAGGTGCACAATATGTAAAATAAGGAAAAATCTGCACAACTATGTATCTCCCAAGTGTATTTTATTTTATAGACCACAATAGTGACGTTTCAGGCTAAGGCCATTAATCCGACATGCTGATCAGAGAAACACCCTCTAAAATGCCCTTAACTTTTATGCTGCTAAGTATTAAAATGTGAGATACGCCCCTAATCTAATGAACCTCTGGAACGACTACGACCTTTAAAACTACAGTCACACTGCACACACGGCATTAATAACTTTAAGAAGCCTCAAATCCATGTCTACTAAATATGAATCTTTTTGTTGACTATATTCTGTCACTTTTAAGAAGTGCGTATATTTTAATCCCGTTATAGTACCAGTCAGACAAACATCAACCTTTAGTTTTAAGCAAGAAAGGTGAGTGCCGCAGAGAATGCTTGACAAACAGGTGCTCTTCAAAGACAGGGCAATCTAAGCAGATATAGGATGTCAAAAAAGGGAGTCGGAGGTACTCTGTTGAAGTGAACAAATGCAAAAGTCCTTTATGAAAATGGACTGCCTACGCGTTTTGACCAAAGCGGTCTTTGTCAGGGCATCATAATGTATGACCTTGTTTGGTTTGACATCACAAACATTACTTAGTATTTAAAGACAACATATGAAATGCTAAGAATTATCAGAGCCGTCTGTTTGCCGCAAGTTATCCCAAAGAAGAACCAAGGAGAGGGCAAAGAGCCGGACTACCCATCAGCATTTGGCAAATACTTCAAGATAATCTCCTTCCAATGTACTTCTCCAAATGGGAAACAACTGCAGTCATCAGAAAGATTATGCACTTTTGATTCAAAGCATTAGCATTCATTTGGAGTATGAATCACCAAATGTTCTTGTGTTTGTTTTCCCTCCTAAAGCTTATGTTGGCTAAGCAATTACTGCAGTCATAACACCACAGTGCAGGTGAAATAAGGAAGCTGTTGTCTTGTGGAGCTTCAACAGCATAACAATATCACTGATCATGGGTCTCCTGTAGCTCGCCACACTCTCCAAAGTAGCTCCTCAAAGGGTAATTGTTGTAAGTAAGTGAGTAAGTGTTTATTTAAAAGTTATATTTATCAGAAGCAGATCAAAAAAGATAGACAGATGCAGTTTGAATATACTTTTTGTATGAGTAAATATGGAAAAATACCTAATTTCTGCTCTAATACATGATAGATTGTTTTATGGGTTTAACACTACACAACAAAAAATGGCCAAAAAAGATAGAAATAGTCCAAAATGACCAACATTAATTTGGGAACATTTTGACGCTCTTAAAACAGGAATTGCCTGTATGACAATCAATACATTTGCAATATCCATTCATGAGATAAGACTAAAGCTGGTTGTGTTTTCGAATCATAATGAAATCTTTTTAATCCATTATAACACACCATTACGTTGACTGTCTAAATGGAGTAGCTCTCTGCCACTGTTGTCTTGAAAAAGTATCTCCCTCTGTAATAGATAAAATTAATATAAGTGAAGTTTTAAATCCATTCAATGCTTTATCCTGTGTCAATCTTAGGTGTACTTGGAATAACTGTCTGTGTTGTATGAGGCTCTACAATACTCAAACTTAAATCCATTAATCACAACTAATCCATCTATCCATCCATCTTCTTCCCCTTAATCCATTTCTGGGTCAGGGGGTGGCAGTCAGAGGTGCACCCAATTCACAGAGCACCAACCGACTAATCGATTATTGAAATAGTTGTCAACTGAGTTTTTTTGACAGAGCTATAGTTACTACACTGACATGGGATTGTGTTTCAGAAGTTTAGCACTTGCTGGACTATTGAGTGCACCTCTAAATTTGAAAAAGTCTACTTATAAGGCGCAGGTTTTTTATGTTGTATTGTGATACAGAGCCAACAGCAGTCAGATGCTACAGTAATAAAGCAAAACAAAGCCGACAGACGAAATGATGAGGTGTTTTAACTCACTGTTGACTTGTTATGGAGAGACCTTTGTAAAGGACACAATGAGCTCTGTTAACTGTGAACTGTTGTCTTCCATGTGGGGACTCATTACCAATCTATTTTGACAATGAATGTGCAACAGCTACTACACCTATGCTCAAAACAGTCCCTGCATTTGACGTCTGCTCTCTCGACTGTCCATATAAACTTGATCAACAGCTGTGTAGAACTTATTTCCTGCGGTAGGAGACTCTACTCCAATAGAAATACATGCAAAGTAGCAGTAAAGTAGTAGAAGAGACCACGGGGAAGACCTAGGACACGCTGGAGGGACTATCTCTCTCAGCTGGCTTGGGAACGCCTTGGGGTCCCCCCGAACGAGCTGGAGGAAGTGGATAGGGAAGTCCGGGAATCTCTGCTTAGACTGCTGCCCCCGCGACCCGGCAATGGATGGATGGAAATGTAGCAGCTTTTATTTCTTTGTATCTCTTTTATGTCTAATCTATCATTTGACTGTGTACCATACTATTTAGTGTTGCTTTTAGCTTTGTTTGGCTGAAATTTATAACAACAAGAAAAATCCCTCATTAGACGGATTTAAATAACTAATCGATTCATATAAAAAGAAGGCCCCCGATTAATCCATTACCAAATTAGTCGTTTACAACAGCCCTATAGCTTTATTCATAACCTTGAAAGCTTGCGACGCATTTCCTACACATTCTTCCAGTGTTTGTCCGCTTGGGGGATAGAAATCCACGGTGTTGGCTGTGTTGTCAGGTGCAGGGATAATTAGTAGTATAATTAAAGAGCTCCATTATGCACCTATTCACAAGAGCAACGCGATCCGAGGTTTGTCTTGAAGGCTCCATTTATGAAGCCAAGATGACGCGAAAAGAGAGAAGAAGAGAGAAAAACGCAGAGGAAAGAGTCAGCAGTGGCCCGTCCTTTTAGTACAAAGCGCTCCAGTAGTTATGATGCGTGTTATTGATGGTGATTAGAATTGATGGCCTTTGCTCTAGGGAGTCCTCTGCACGCTCGCTCATAAAGTTTGGGAGGTTATTAATGACTGGTTGTTTCTGTGACGCAGCATATGCAGAAATGATGGTCGCAGCGGGGGCAGAGCCAAGCAGATATTATTTTAGCTGTAGAGAAATCATGTATTGTCACTCCACCTTGTGTGTGCGAGTTGAGGCCACTAACGGGAGCTGCCGTCGCTGCTGCAGCACTGCCCCCTTCTGTCGAGACTGGGAAGTGCATGGTTATAGATGGGTGAAGGTTTAAATTAGGGAATCTCAGCCTTTGAAATTTGTTTTGTATGTAAATGTATGTTGATTGTGAAAAAGGTAGAAGCAGTTCAGTGGCATTCAGACCTGTTCATATGCACCTGTTTAAAATGCTATTCAATTATCGGTTATAGCTATGTGGTTGCGTTCATGTCCATTGAAGGTTCTAGTATTTTCCCAAATCGTTATTTGATAGTGATTAGATTCACAAACCCGCCATATTATTCCTATGTCTGAAAGTCCTTTCTATGGGCCAACATCATGCATAACAATTACACGATAGTTGATATGTACCGATAAAGATGTCACAGAGAAATTAAGTCTAAACTAAGAATGTGACTTGTCATAGTTACAAGTTTAAATGGCATTTTCACCGATTACTAAAAATCTTAGGGATTTTCTCAGAAGGGGTGGATTTTGCAGGTGAAATGGGAAATTATGAGCCTTACAGTATTATGCCAAATGGTAATTATGTGTTTTTGCGAAGTCCCATACTTATGAATTGCATCTACAACCTTGTGTAGGTACAAAAGGTCAACATGCACAGTTTCTTTTTGATTTTTTTGATGTCCATGGACATAAGGTTTCACGTAGATTATCCAAACAATATGTGTCTAGCATCTGGGGTGCCAGTTTCTTAGGTGAAATTTAGCATTTTTCTTTTCAAAAAAGCATTTCAAATGTGTATTAAATTGAAAGCAGGTACAAATAAGTTCATACAGTTTCTAGCTAAACCCAAGCAGGCGGAATACATCTGTAATCAGTGCTTATAGGAGTGTATCACAGACACAAAGATTCTGGCAACAAAAAGTATTGTTTTGTTATAACTAGACAGTGTCTTTTATAATATTTTTTTCCTCATTTTTTTTCTCACTCATCTGAACAAGTGCACTTAAACGATGTAAGAAAAAGGCATTGGCTGTAGCTGCTCCTCCATGTTGTGTTGAAATGACTGCGTGTGCAAAATTCTTGATGTGCAGGAGTCGTCAGTGGCTGTAATCCCCGTATATCTGCTGTGTTTTCTGTTCCAGTTCGCTGCCTGGGTGGATGCAGTGGTGTTTGTCTTCAGCCTTGAGGATGAGATCAGCTTTCAGACCGTCTACAATTACTTTCTGCGACTGTCGAGCTACAGGAACACAGCCGAGGTCCCCATGGTGCTGGTCGGGACGCAAGGTCTTTGGCTCAGGATTCTATTGCTATTATTCTACCAAGATTATATCAGAATATACCTCCACAGGGCGAGCGCGGCGCTGTATTGTAATGTGGAAAGTTTAGGTTTGAAAGATTAAGCATGAAACCCGTAATCTATCTTTCTTTTTTTTTTTTTACATAGAAATCAGACACTTATTTTATTCAGGGGTTTTGAAGGAAAAGGGTAAAATGGCCAAACCGACCACTGACCACTGGACTCTTTTACATTGAGTAATTATTCTTGGATGGCAGTCAAAACTATGCTGAAAACTCGGTCCTGTTGACTTTTGAAACCTGTTCTTTGATATTATGCTTATGAATAGGAGTATTTACATAATTACATTATTTAAGTCAAGAAATATTAGGACATTTTAGTGAGTGCAGTAAATAAACGCAGCTGCCATTTTTTAATAGTTCCAGTACTACATATATGTTTGTCATAAAACAAGCAGAAATAAAGGCTTTCAAGTGTATACTTGTATTTATGTTTGTTTGGAGATGAAACTCATTTTCAAGGGCGTCTTCAAAATTGCACAAAATGACAGATACAAAAAGGCAGACGGTAAAGCAGACAAAATAACACAATTTATACAGAGAAATACCAACACAAAAGACTAAACACACACACACACACACACACATTGACTGTTGATGTCTATTATACATTACAGTGATTAAGGCTAGTATTAATAGTAAATCTAATTACATGACATGGGTTCTGAAGGTATTATAAAAGAGTATTTTCAAACAAGTTTATCCTGTGTCCACATGGGAATCATATTTATTTTGCTAGCAGACTGTAATCATTCATGAAAGATTAGTTTAGAAATTGATAAGCGTGTCAACACATAACACAACTTATCTTAAAATGCGGTTCAAAGCCTGTGTTCTTTATCAATCATTTCTAACAACCTTGCAAGAAACCACAGAATCTGAATCCTCATTGGTCTGAAACTGTCTGTGCTGTCTAACTTGTCTTTTGTTTCTCACAGACGCCATCAGCGCCGCGAACCCCAGAGTGATCGACGACTCCAGGGCTAGAAAGCTTTCCAACGACCTGAAGCGCTGCACGTACTACGAGACGTGCTCCACCTACGGCCTGAACGTGGAGAGAGTGTTCCAGGACGGTGAGGAGAGATTGATGCTTTACAAGGAGAGCGAGGGGAGGCCGCCGCATCTGTTAGGCCACGCGCTGGTGTCCGCTAAAGAGGATTTGTGAGGCCATAATGTTCAAAGAGATGTTTGCAGCAGAGGGAGGAGATGTAAACCGGGGCTGTTGATGTATGGCATGACAATTTCAACAAGTGGTAAAGGGCGGTTTGAGTGCGACGGAAGAACTGTAGCAACTGCATGGACCGAACTTCTTTACGTCTTTCGTTTCAGCCGATGCAATATTTTGGCATTTTACATTGGAAGTTTCTTTGTGGAACCCTTCTGACTACTAAAATCACAAACTTTTTTTTTTTTTTTGGTAAGAAGAAAATAGGGAAATGTTAGTGTGAAACCAGGTCACTGTATGTGTCTTGTATTCCCAACCTCATGTAGCAATTTTACTACTTTGATACCTAAAAAGGATTACAATGGTTCCACACGGTAACCACAAAAGACTACGACGGAGAAAATATTGCAACTCCGACTTTATTCTCATAATATTTAGACTTTAAAGTCAAAATATTCAGACTTTAGTCTCATAGCGTCTGGAAAAAAGCCCTATGCTCTGTTGTAAAAGACCACATTGAAGCTTATGAATATAGAATGAGTTGGATCTCAAGATTATAATAATAAAAACTATCTACATCTAAACTTTTTCTTAAAGTGGTGCACTTTTCTACTCAAACTAGAACGTTTCTCAGCCCTTGGCAGTGTATCCTCCGAATGTAAATGATAGACTGAATCAATAAAATGCATGTTTAGAATTCTACATACTGCACTTTGCAAACAGCTCACACTGTGTTTATTGAATATGCAGTGTTGGAATTGAATACAATGAATTTGGTAATCAATCAGTGAACTGAAAAACTGATGGTATCTATTATTTCACAGAAATGATCAGACTGCAACACAATTGCGTTAATTTAGTAAAGGAAATCATTTCTGACCTGTACCAACTTGTGGTTTTCCCTGGACACTACTTCCATTGTAATAAAACATCCCAGATCAATGAGAAGACTTTGTTTTCCATAATTGTTGCTGTGCATCTTCTCAGTATTGGCTTTTTTAACGTTGTAACCGGTGCTAAATACTTTTATTTGCCAAAATTGCTGCTGAATATTGAAAGTTTTATGACCAAAGACTTGTTTCTCTTTTTTTGTCACCTACAAAGTCTTGTCGACAAACTCAAACTTTCGCTCAGACTTGTGTGAACTCGTGAAGCTGTTGTTGCTCCTCATGAAAGCCTGTCATCCTTCAGAAACACAATATCCAGCTCCGTGTTCGCTTTGCACTTCCTGCTTTGTTGATGTTTGTGCGTTGTCTTCCTCCTCTGCCTTAATTGCCTCCCGAAGCCCAATTTAAAATAATTAAAAGAGATGAAGGAGGGTTGGCTGTCTGTGGGAACTGCATCACTCTCGCCTCCTCCGCGTGCTGTGGTCCCAGCTGTCAGTGCAACTTCAAAACACTTTTCTTCCTCTTAGTGCAAAATCCTGCCCCACCCTGATCTTCAACACTTTTCTACCAAATCCATGACAGGTTTAACAGGGAGCATGGCAGATCAGGGCTTCAAATATGGCTGCATTTGTTATGTGCGGTTTGGTGAAATGGACAGGGTGATCTGTTATTGTTATATTTAATCCTATTCTTAAAAATATAGTTATCCCAGAAGATGTATGAAAGGTACAACACAGTGGCTTTTGTACTAAACTATACAAACAGCCCAAGGTCCTAGTGCTCATAGTGCCGCTCATGTGCTGCCGGTTAGTAAGTAAGTAAGTACGCTTTATTTATACAGCGCCTTTCACAGACCAAGGCCACAAAGCGCTTCACAGTTTAAACAGGTAAAAACAGACAAAATACAATTTTAAAATGTGCATAAAAAAAAAAAATAGAAAATATACATACAGTAAATATAATGGCCAAGACAACTCAGTGACAGGTTTAAAACAACCGCGAGAAAATTATGTAAAAGCTTGCCCAAATAAATAGGTTTTTAGCTGACCTTTGAATGAATCAACCGACTCCATCAGCCGCAGAGAGAGTTCCAGAGCTTAGGCGCAACAGCCTGGAAGGACCGGTCTCCCCTGGTCCGAAAGCGCGTGCGTGGGACCATCAACAGATTCTGATCCACAGACCTCAGGGCCCGAGTGGGGATGTAAGGCTGAATCAGATCGCTGATATAAGGGGGAGCCTGACCATGCAGAGCTCTGAAAGTCAGCACCAATATTTTAAAATGTATCCTGTAGGACACGGGCAGCCAGTGGAGAGCTTTGAGGACAGGAGTGATGTGCGACCTCCTGTTTGTGCGCGTGAGAACCCGAGCTGCAGAGTTAACTAAGTCAAATCACTGCAATGGTTGTCGCAAAGAACAACTATGTTGATTTTTCAAAGGCAATTTAAAATCCAATTAAATTAAATAAAATTAACCTTTTTGATAGCAGTTATGTACAAGTCCCAGAGGTAGACCTGAAAAACCCAAAGTGGGAAACCTCAGGAAGAACCACAGTGAAGGAGAGATGGACAGACTGCTGTAGATTGAGTCCATTCTAACTGTTGCTTCCCCATTGTTATTATTACATTGGTTTTAACTACATCTTCAATGGTCGTTCCTCATTACTACAGTTTTGATCCGATTTATTCTTATGCCTAAATATCAAATCACTATTGACCACAAAAATGTCTTCCTTTTTCCCCCACATTTCAAGATAACAATGGTAACAACTAAAAAGTATTAATCAAACATACTATGCTGTTGATATACTAATGTACTCCTTATATGTATAGTATTTTTGAACAAGTACAGTCACAACACACATACAAGGTCTGCACTGATAGCCATATTCACAAATACGAATTTACATCACCCTTTCATGAATATTCCCAAATGCATTCTACTGCCCTTCTGCGGTGGCCTTAATGCTTGTATAAAATGGACCGTAGGCACCCAGTCTAGTTTCGTCTTCATGGATCTCTCTAACCAATTTATGATTTCATTTTGTGCTGTGTTCTGACCTCCCACGTTCTAGTTTTCCTACTCACGAGAAAGTTATTGAGTAGCTCAGCTTTTCACTCAACGAATGTCATATCCCTCTGAGGGTTTGCAGTACCTACGTATCAGCCCTCGTGCTTTTAATTGGGCCTGTGGGGACGATACCTTCTGTTGATTTGTACAATGTGTCAGTTTAAAGGCATCAGCAGAGCGTCAGGAGAAGCACCATTACTGAGGAGTACATTCTACAAAACCACAGACAGGAGCATGTGTTTAAGTTCAATGCATATTCTTGAATCATCTTTTTAAATATCGGCAAAAGAATACAAGAAGAGCGAGTGCGTGCGGGGATCACAAAATGTAGGGTGCTCTTCAAGGAAAATATAACCTAAAGATTATTTATGGTTGAAGGGACATTGCGACGTGATTTTTAGGTTAAGTCAGAGTACATCGGACCTTTTCCCTTTTCCTTCATCTTTATCAGACAAGTCAAACTCAGATCTGGTCCGCAAAGCCATTTTAAGTTGCCCCTAAAATGATTTTCAATTATCATTTCTACAGTAACTTGCAGCATTGATGGTACTGGGATACTATGGCATGTTTTACTTCATTTTAAAGGCTATTTTCTCAGGAAAACAACCATATAATTGAATCTGTCCAAAAATGTAATTAGCAGTTAAGTTAGGACAAAAATAAAAATGTTTATATTCAAACAATTAATCTTGAATTACATTTTTTTTTATGTTTGGCCCAGTTGTGATTAAATCCAAACAGACTAGAAAATATCTAGAATCGTGTCAAATAAAATACAAAATAATGTAAAACAAAAAAGATAAAAAAAGGAATCAAATCAAACCCTTGTTTTTTTTGGCCCCAACAAGCTATTATGTTTTTAAACTTGGCCCCCGACCAAAATGAGTTTGGCACCTCTGATCTATACATACAGTATATATTTCTTATAATGTGTTGCAAAAAAGCCAGATTTTAATAACTCGTTGATGTGATAGAGTTATGTAACAGACAATGTGACTTGTGTTATTATTATGACTCAATAATAATGAAATCCACTCTTGTGTGTGTGTGTGTGTGTGTGTGTGTGTGTGTGTGTTGCAGTTTCCCAGAAGGTGGTGGCTATGAGAAAAAAGCAGCAGTTGTCCATTGGTCCTTGTAAATCTCTTCCCAACTCCCCCAGTCACTCGTCAGTCCCCGCGGCTTCACTTCCCTCTGTCCACATGAACCAGGTACCACTTCAGATTCATTTTATTCTCCGTTTGCAGTAAAACCACATTGGAAGACATTTGCAGAAGTCCCCAGTGTGCACCAGACAAGTACAAAAATAAAACAAGGTAAAAAAGTGCAGGAAACTATTGTCAGTGTGAAACGATCAACAAAAACAGTTTCAATACATGTGCAGGATCCTTCACTGGTTTTATATTTATTCAACCTTAATAACACATATATCAAATTCTATATGATTACATTTTTTGGAGAGAAATTGGTGTTTATCAGTAATGCTCCGTGCAATCCACTGAAACACCTTCTCTGGCCTGAACTAGTAGAGTCTGACAATTGCACCGGATTACATCAGTAAATAAACTAAATATATGTATTGGGAGAAATCGAATAGACCTCAGCAATATGTTATTCTTCTCAAAATCTGTGTGTTGCGTCATGTACAGAGACTTATTTGATGCCCAGGTGAAACTCAGGAAATTAGAATATCGTTCAAATTCGTCTGTAATTACACCTACAATGTGAAAGTATTATATCACAGACTTATTAGAAGCAGAGTGAGACTTTTCAAGCCCTTATTTGTTATAATTTTGGCAATTGGTTCACAGCTTGTAAAATCCCCAAATAAAACGTCTCTGAAAATTAGAATATTTTAGGGCGGCAGTAGCTCAGTTGGTAGAGCGTTGGCCTTTGAGCCAGAAGTTCGTGGGTTCAAGCCCCGCTCAGGACTTTCACCATCGACTCCCACTGATTACTGTCGTTGTGTCCTTGGCAAGACACTTAACCTCTGGGAACACCAGCCACAGTGGGGCGGCTGCGGCTGTAAAGTGCCAAACTGCCGTTGTGTCCTTAGGCAAGACACTTCACCCCCATTGCCTAGAATGAGTCTGGTGTGTGTGTGAATGGTTGGTGGTGGTCGGAGGGGCCGATGGCACATACTGGTTGCCTCGCTTCTGTCAGTGTGCCCCAGGGCAGCTGTGGCTACTGTAGTAGTTTATCACCACCGTGTATGGAGTGAATGAATAATGACACATGTGAAGCGTCTTTGAGTGTCCAGAAAAGCGCTATATAAAACCGATGCATTATTATTATTATTATTATTATTATATTTTGAAAATCAGCCAAAATCATGCAATTATAACAAAGAGTCCATAGCATCTATTGGTATCACATTTTAAGTTGAATTACAGACATTTTTTCAGGGTCCCCACAAACATATAAAGAATAGACATGTTTTTACTTCTACATTAAAAAATATATATTAAAAAAAAACTAACCTTAAACGTGCTTGAATTGCTTGTTGCCTGGACAAACTTTGTAGACCCCTGTGCCCTCCAAGAGAACCATTATTTTGTTAGAAACAGTTGGAATAAAGAGCTAAAAGAAACAAGATGGCTGTAAATGTTTTTTTAGTTTTAGCTCTATAATATTCAATACTCTTTACCTCAATTATAAACCTATGCCACATGCTAGGAACAAAGAATACAGTATATACGCAATCTTTCAAGTAGATTCACTATTAAAACAGCAGCAGGTCCAGACCACTATTCACAGTGATGCTACTACTGTACATGTAACAGCAGAATAAGGATTTAGGCAGAATACATACAGTATAACATCTTGGAGAGTAAGTGACTTTTGTAAATGAGAAGGATGTGGGCAGAACAAATATATAAAGTGCGAAGTAGACGCGGGTTGTGTTTTATTCTGACATTACAGTATTGCACGCTATTGCAGGATTTACTGTGGAAAGGCTCAGCAGTTCATATTGCACACTCCAACAGCAGCCACCTCATGCAAATGTTATGTTAAAAAGGGGCGGGGCTAAATGATTGATCCTGAAGATTGAAGTAATCTTAAAAATCAATTACTCAAGGTGATTATTGAAACACATGTCGCACATGTTTTGAAAGGGTTGAAATCTCCAATCCAGAGAGCGACCAGAGAGAGACCAGAGAGGGACCCGAAAGAGAGAGAGAGAGACAAGAGAGACCGGAGAGAGAGACCGGAGACTGGAGAGAGAGAGACCGGAGACCGGAGAGAGAGACAAGAGAGACCAGAGAGAGAAACCGGAGAGTGAGACCGGGGAGAGAGAGACCAGAGAGAGAGACCAGAGAGAGAGACCAGAGAGAGAGACCAGAGAGAGAGACCAGAGAGAGAGACCAGAGAGAGACCAGAGAGAGACCAGAGAGAGACCAGAGAGAGACCAGAGAGAGACCAGAGAGAGACCAGAGAGAGACCAGAGAGAGACCAGAGAGAGACCAGAGAGAGACCAGAGAGAGACCAGAGAGAGACCAGAGAGAGACCAGAGAGAGACCAGAGAGAGACGCCGGAGAGAGAGAGCCCAGAGAGAGAGACCAGAGAGAGAGACCAGAGAGAGAGAGACCGGAGAGGGATCGAGAGAGACCAGAGAGAGACACCAGAGCCATTTTCTAATAACTATACAAAAGCAACACAATAGAACAGTAGCACAACACAATACAATATAATAGGGTTGCATTTATGGACTAAGATCTGTTTTTTGCCTTTAAAGTTGAATACAGAATCATGATATAATTACTATCATTGCAGATGTACCAGTGTTGTCTTTCTAACCTCCCTTCCCTTCCTCTCCTCACTCCTCTCCTTTTAATCCCTGTTCCACCTCTCCCCAGGCGGCCAATGGCGGGGGTGCATTCAGCGACTACTCCTCCTCCGTCCCCTCCACCCCCAGCATAAGCCAGCGGGAGATGCGCATCGAGACCATAGCCGCCTCCAACACGCCCACGCCCATCCGCAAGCAGTCCAAGCGCCGCTCCAACATTTTCACAGTAAGTATGAGACATCTGATGCAAAGCAACACCCACGCGCACTATTAGTCTCTGCGATGGCTCACTTTGCCCACCAGAGGGAGCTCCACGTACACACATTCTCATTGCCTTTAAGCAGGCAGAGAACGTACACAAGCAGCACAATGGGCAAAACAGAAATCAAAGTGTACTAGATCCCCTTGAAATAACTTGAGCTAATTTCCAATACGCAGTGTGCAACTAAGATTCTTCATGTTTTGTTTTGGTTTTATCTTTTGTTTCTAATTGGATGAAACCCATAAGAAACTAGCCCCCTTTTGGCAATGTCTAAATGTTTGATCCCTCCCTTTCCCCACCCCTCTTATTTCTACTAGATCCTTTCTTTGCAGTGACTTCCCATTTTGGGGCAGAGACGGCAGCATCAGGCCTAAACAGCGCGCCAAATCCGCTTCTCTCCCGGGCCAAAAAGAACTTAAATCTAAAAGCGTCCGAGAACAAGTCGCCACTCCCAAATTTAGACTCCCCTTAAGCTGCGAATCTGGTCCCCACCGCACCAATGTCCTGCCCCTGTCTGCCTTTCACCTATTGTCCTCTTGTATTTGCCCATTGCTCTAACCAAATGTGTGCACTAACCACTCAGATATCCACAATACTTGTCTTTTAATTGTAGCCTGTGCCCTTTCCCTTTCACACCCTGTATCTCTCCTCTCTTCTGTCCTCCTACTCCTTTTTTTGCCTCTGAGCCTTTTTAACCTCACATACGTACGGAAGTCAAAGTCAAACTAAATGAAGTCCATAGAAGGCTTGTTTTTTTTGTAAGTTGGAAAACTGAAAACACTGACTTGGCACATTGGAGGGTTTTGGAGAAGACTTGTGAGGCTGTAAAGCGCAGATCAATGGGGATGCGCAGTGTCATTGATTCAAGCTAATCCTCAAGCACAAGCAATTAACAACTTGATATCAGTGATGAGGCCTTTGTGCAAAAGCAAACAATTTGTAGAGAGATTTTCAGATTTGTTGGCTGCAGTCTCGTTGCTTTGAGTGACTTTCTAAACCAGTGGTTCTCAACTGGAATGGTATCGAGACACAACGCCAAGAGGGATACCCAATTAGGAAATGAGTAAATAAATAGATCATGTACAATACTGTATGTTTTTGCACATTGTTTTATAAGTATTGAATAATACTACACTGCGAACCAAATAACATACAAAACACACACATCTTGAAAAATGATTTCACACAATCTGCCAATGAGGCAAGTTTTACCTTTTATTTCTAGTAATCTTCTTTTCAGTGCATCTTTTGTTACTTCTTAAATCAAGGACCTTCATTTTTTCATGAAACTTCTACTTCTTTCATAATAGCTTCTTTTGTAGGAGTAGCATTAGTTGTTGTTGTTGTTGTGGTAGTAGTTAATACACGTTTCAAAAATACTGTCCTGGAAAAACTTGTGACCCTCTAGAAATGATCCCTCAAACCCACTTCTGGGTCCTGGACCACCAGTTGAGAACCACGGTTTTACTCTAAATTTCTTTGAACTTTAAATCCATTAGTGGGTTCCAATGGCGTCTCATCTCTCCTCCTCCAAATCTTGGCAGATTACATTTGTCTAATTGCAACTGCATCTTCATCTGCTGCCAAAAAATAAATTAAGATTTTTTTTAAACGGTACATTACTGCTTTTTTGGGACTCCTTTTGATTGCTTATTTATCTTAGTATAGTCCCACCTACAGGTCTAATATTGTCATTACACATGATAGTCCCACTGTGCCACAACCATTTTTTAAAGTATTTTTGTTATCAACTCTTCATGTCACAGAGCCTCGTGAGGACACAGGCCGCATGAGGACTCCCAGTTTTTCCTCCTGGCTGTTTAATCAAAACGAGTGATGGAAACTCCTCTTTGGCCCCTAACGCTGTTACTGCCACATGATTGGTGTCTTCATTCATTCATTTTTTACTTTATTAGTAATTATTAGTCCATTTTTGGGTCGGGAGTGGACAAAAATTGGTGTCTTTCAATTTTGATAGTCGCAATCTTAAACTGCTCCCACTGATGTCTGCAGTCGTTGTGTCCCTGGGCAAGACACTTAACCCCACATTGCCTGAAGCCCCCGCTGGAAGACCAAGGCCATCTCGTCGATGACAGAAGACATTCCCGTGGACCCACCACCTTCAGGAGGATCAGCGAGGGACTGGTGCTGTGGGACTTGAGTGGCAGCTCTGATTGCCACCCCCCCGACCCAGAAATGGATTAATAAAGGGGAAGACTCTGACATGACATGACATATTATAAAAAAAGCGCTTTCCTGTAAATAGAAAAATTAGGAAAAGACAACTTATTTTTCCCAATCCAGTTTTGGTCTCAGATTAGACTCTCATGTCTTCTGATCGCTTTAAAATAGGTTTTTTCCTGGTCATTCACACGCCACAATTCATGCCTATTTTAGTTATTTACATTTTCCTACACAAGCCGCAGTATCTCTCGCTAATGATTTCCATTTTTTAGATCTTTATTTTATAAAAATGGAGATACACTGACAATTCTGCTGCGTAGTGTAGCCATTTTTGTTCAAAAACCAAAGAGTGGGACTGTAAACAGAAGTGTGCAGATTTCTTTTATTGCATTTTTTTTAGATCAATATCAACATTTAAAATGTACCAACAATATAATGAATGAACCGTGGGTGTCATAGATTTTCACCATATAGCAGACTGAAGCAAGTCTTCTCAGCAGATTTTCTTTTGTAGTTCAGCATTGCAATATCCATCCATCCATTTTCTACCCTTTAATCCATTTCTGGGTCAGGGGGGTGGCAGTCAGAGATGCCACCCAAGTCTCATAGCACCAGCCCCTCACTGACCCTCTGCAGGTGGTGAGTCCACAGGAGGACGGCTGCTCTCTGACTGTGAGCATAGCCTTGATCTTTCAGTGGGGGCTTTGGGCAAAGTGGGGTTAAGTGTCTTGCCCAAGGACACAACAACAGCAGTCATCAGTGGGAGTCGGTGGAGAAGGTGCAGAGGTGGGAATTGAACCCACAACCTTCTGGGCTTAAGGCCAATGCTCTACCAACTGAGCTACTGTCGCCCCAGCAATAAAATCTCTTAAATGCTAGAATCCTGTTGTGCCAAGACTTGGAACACTAATGTCTTACATCTGTCAAGAATGACTAAGTGACAAATCCTATCAGCGACAAACAAGGGAAGGAAAATCTCATCTTGGTGCAGCAGCATGGCACCCTGAAAGCCAAAGATCTTAATACACGTGTTTTTCTCTCTCCAGCAAATAAGCATTGAGCGTGTGATACAAGCTAATGATAAGGTTTGTAATGCAATCACTAGGAGCTCAAACCCATGGGTTAGGTTTTCAAGTCTGTCTTCCTGATAAGCGTCATTAACAGAGCGAAAGCAGCTATTATAATCCAAACAATCTTAAAATGTATCAGCTTGGTGTAAATCACAGAAACAATCAAACAAAAAAATCAGCAAAAAATACCAATACTTTTTTTTTGTATTGAGTTTTCATTATTTTGCCTGCTCTTGCATGTGTAACTGGGCATGACTTTGCAATGGCATAGAAAAGGTATTGAGTGTGAGGTGCCAATGTCTGCTTCAGCACTTGCTTCGTCCTTCAATTTTCTTGGTGTTCAGATTTGGCGATCTTTGTCTAAACGTTTTGATTGGAATAGACTCCTTTGAATGGTTTTTCGAGATTTCATTAGCTGAGGGGGAAACTTTTGAACTCATGTTTGCCAACAAAACAAATAGTAATAGCTAGAAACTCCAACACAATTCAATACATTTAAGTTACCATCTTGTTGAAGCCATTACGTCCAATACATAAGTGGTCCTCACACTATATCAGATGGACCAAAGTGGCTCAACAGACCATCTGACCAACTGCCTGCTCAGTCCTCCATTTTTCTATACCCATGAGAGTGGATCTGTCCTTCAGTGTGGCTCTCCCTGAGGGTTCTTAAGTTTTATCAATTTTTTCTGCTTAGGAGGAGGGTCTTAGACAGGGGATGCTCTGGGATATAAATCTATGTGTTAATTCATTTCTATTGGTTAAGCTTTTTTAATTGGTTGACTCTCCAATCTGCTTTTGCTAAGGTGGTCAAGGCTACTTTTGTTGTGATTTTGGGCTGCACACAAAATAATTGAGTTGAATACTTCATACACAAAAACAATGTCTTATTAAAAAATTGTCACCAGCCAAAGTTGACAACACCATTTTATTATAAAAGTCGTTCGCAACCTCGAACAAAGAAATAACAGCCTTCTATGAAAAAATAGAGATCTGCCGCATACTACTTCTTGCTCTTTTCAGACGTTTCAAAGTTAGCTGCATCATACATTTTTCTGCAAGTGAGAAGACATTATCACTGGACCATTTTTTGTCTCCCGTCTATCTTTCAAAATTCAACACGCCTGCCATGAAGATCCAAGTCCCATGCATAATTCATATCCCTTTCAAATGGCCTGTTTCTTAAGCCGTTCAACTTTGACAGAGAAATAAATTTGCCAGAGGTTTGAAAAGAAAATGAAGTGCAAAGAGATGGCGTGTAAATGGGGAATTTATAAACTACTAGGGAATATATTTTCTGTCACTTTCTGGAGTTAAAAGGAGGAAAGGATCACACAGGGATTTATTTGCGTAAACTCCATTAATAGATAGCGGCGAGTCCGAGGCAGTTAGAATGAGCACGCATCACTGGGGCTGCTTCCTGACTGCTGTAGAGCCCAGAAACCTTACACCGTGTTGGTTTAGTAGAACTGGTGGACCCCTATTAGCAGGTGATAAGGTACAACGCTAAATATATGTTGCTCTATGTTCTTATGTCTGTCATTCACGCAGCAAGTACGAAGGAAAAAAGCAAGCGAAACAAGAAAGCTGTTAAAAAGCTCAATGGCCCGAAAGTTTAAAGACTATAATATTTGTTAAGACAATTTAATCAACAAATCGATTATTGAAAAAGTGTAACTTACTAATTTAGTATTTGATTAATCTTTTTTTAACCTTACATACAACCACACATGCTGAATAGACATTTTATGACTTATTTTATGACCTGAATGAAATAAAGATATGTTTAAGTAGGTATTTAAGATTGAGGGATTTTATCTTTCCTCTTTCTAAAGTATTGTGATTATGATTTTAATGCCGGCTGTGCCTCGTTTCTACAGTATCTTATTCTGTGTACTTTGAATTGCCTTGTGTATGTGTTGTCCTATACTAATAAACTTGCCTTGTCTTACTATTCTTAAGCTGTAACTGTGTAACAAGTCATTTACAAATGTTCTCTAAAGGCATCACTTGAACTTTGTTTGGATCAAATGCATAAAAAAAATATAAAATGACCTTATTGACTTAACGTTCAAGATCCAAAGAACAAAATTGATGCATTAAATGAAAACAGCATACACTTTGACTGATACAGAGCACACTTGACAATATTAAGTTGCCAATATCATTTCTATTGGTGATTTTGTTAAACAGGGAGTTTGGATAAAGTAGGGCTGAGACTCTAGATAATTGATTGTTTCTTGATTTGTTGCTTGGAATGCATATATGAAGTGAAGCCGCTGGAGGTTTCCATTTCCCAACAAATTAAATCATTACATCTCACACACTTTTTTTAAATTGCTGCTCTATTTGTGTCTTAAAACCAGCACAATTAACAGTGATAATTAATTGAGTGATAGAATAGTTGCGGTTATTGGACAAAAACATAGTTGCGATTACCCCTTACAATCCATAGAAACCTTTACATTTCCCCACTGTGGGACGAATAAAGGAGTATCTTATCTTTCCACTACTGATGCTAGTGCAGTGTGGTGAATATGTGGGAAACGCATGTGTGTGTTGAATGTGGGAACGTCTAAATGTTGGGGCCCTGGTGTACAGTAAGTATGGGTTTAAGAGTGTGTTTTTATGACTTGTGCATAATTAGTGTGTACTGTAGGGAAAAGTAGCCACAGGACAGGGACAGGAATGGAGAATTAGCCTTTGCTACAACTCTATATGTGTCTTGTCCCTGTCAAAGAAATACAGAACCAAGAAGAAATACATACTACACTGCAATAAATAAAAAATATATGAGGACATAAATGCTTGAATGCTTAATTTGAGTACATATCAAATCAAGATAATTTAGCATTTTGTCTTGTTTAATGGCAGTCAAAATTTGCTTAAACTAAGAGAGTACAACATTTTAGATTTTTTTGGCTTATTCTCCAACACTTTTTGCAGTGTAAAATCAAGCAGGTAGATAAGAAGTCAAACCCTGTGTCTTTGAAAATAAAAAAAAATCTATTGGATAAGTCAAAGGATACGTCTTAAATGTGGCTATAAAGTGAGACTTATTTCCCCAGGTCATGCCAATTCATCATTCATGAGGACGTTTAATGAGATGATCCAGTTTGAACAGATGTGTGCAGGTAATATTTTGCACCAGAGATTCATTCAAGACTCCAGCTTCACAAAACCAGTTCTTCCCATTTCTTACTCGGTGCTGAATTCTTTCCACACCCCTATTCCCATGACTTTATTAGCCCCGAAGACGTCTCATGACTCCAGCCCCCCTGTCTCCTCTCTGCACCCCCAGGAAGCCCTCTCACGGATCCCTGTGCATAGCTGAGCAGGTGGGGGCAGGGTCCACTCTCCGCACACCTCACATTCACTCACCAGCTTCCTTTAACAAAACATAAGCTCGGGGGAATGTTGGTCCTAGCAGACAGAGCGTGAACGTGCGTTTCTGGCGACTCTTTTAAACTGCCTGAGGGGCTGCAAAAAAAAAGGTGCTCAAGAGATACTCACTCGGAATCAGAAATAGTTTCAAGAAGTTTGTCCGGCTTGTAAGGATAGTTTAAGGCATTCATTGATAACGTTCCGGGGATTGGCAACACTTGCAGTCAGAAAAAGGGATATAATAGCTATGTACAAATACAATATTGTACTACTAGGTATTTACAGGTGAGTCAGAAAATGTTATTGTTCAGAAGTTGAGTTTATTTCTGTAATTCAAATTAAAAAGTGACACCAATATATGATGTGGTACATACTGATTACATGCTAAGGGACATATGCCAAACATTTGTTTGTTATCATTTTGATGATAATGGATTACAGTCCATTTTCAATACGATTTCTAAGGGTTTTCACAGGCCGCGAGTCATAATTTTCAGTATTATATCAAATAAAGCGTCATATATTATATACTTTGGTTGTAATGCGTCTGTCGTACAATAGTTCCACATTGTAAGTTGAATTACAGAAGTAAATAGGCTTTTGAATGATTCTCTGATTTTCACCTGCATACGACTAGAGAAGCACTTGTAGACCCCCCTGCCTAAAGGTTTGATTCCTTTTTTTTTTTAATCAGCCTGTGATTCAGATTTCTTCCACAACATAATCACTTGGGCCATTGTGCATGTTAGCTGAAAATGTGCACAATCCATCCAAATCCTCCCATTACTTATAGAGTTATCATGCACACAGACAGACAGACAAATACTGCTGATCACGCTACTTCCTGGGCGCTGGGTGGAGGTAAATATTACCAGACTTTACAATGTACCAAGAACCCCTGATTGAATCAGAATCAGAATCATTTTTATTGCCACATAAGTAACAGGAGGTCACAGACTTGCTTTGGCTCAGTGCAACAGTCAGAAAGAGATAATAAAAATAAGAATAAAAAACACAATTTAAATTTAAAATAGAGTTACAGTTACTATTTACAATATACAAGTGCACATGGTGCACACCATGTAAGGTGAAGGAAACGTGTCTGCACAGACTGAAATACAGTGAAAAGATTGCAAGGTGAATTCCAGCACAAAATATACCCTGACAAAGACCGCTTTTGGTCGAAACGCGCAGGCAGTCCATTTTAATAAAGGACTTTTATGTTTTCACTTCAACAGAGTGCCTCAGACTTCTCTTTTCGACAAAATATACTTTCAATTGAATCAATGCAAAAAGTCAAGCAGGTGGTTGACCCTGAGACGATGGAAGTGAAAGTGTACCTTATAGCTTATAGGAAAGTGGCTAAAGAAACACAAAATGCTATATTTGACAAAGTAAGACAACTGCATCTTCCTTGACATGTTGCATATGTACTAAACGTGTATTCGGAGCTGACAAGCAACTTTGTGCTGTTAATTCACCAGCAAACACTTAGGCAGGTAGCAACAAGCGCAGAGTCCCGCCCAGGGCACCGAGCACCTTGCTGTACGAAGGCCGATAGGCACACCTAAATTCCTATTGCTGCATGAGTCAACTCTGCAGAGACCATGGACAAAAAGCATAGAAGAGATGGGTTTCCTTGACAATATCCAAACACAAAATCGGAAAGCATCAAAAACAACCTACAAAATTATCAAAAAGACAACGTGGCAGTCGAACTTGAACCTGTGTACTGATGTCTCAAAGGGTGCTCTAATGAGGATAAATGCTATACGTCCATACTGGCTTGAGCCCAGTCATTAGGCTGTCAGGGCTAATAAGAGCCAATAGAGGTGTGAAATCAGGGGCTGAAAACATACCAAATGACAGCAATTAACTCGCATAGGTACAAATATTTCCATCCTCTCCAGGCAACTGTGTACATTCTGAGTTAACCATTAGGCACAGTGCTTGTGCTAGACCCCCACTTCCTTCCATCATTAGACATGTAAGCCCTGTTCATTAGCAATACACTCTGCCAGGCGCATCACCACTGCAGCCACTAACTGCTCCACTATCACTGCTCCAATGCAGTTGAAATACAAGCCACAGCAGTTAGCAGGACTAGTCGTACACACAGCAGCCATGGACTAAAGCCACGGACCACAGTCATTTCATTAACTTCAAAAACTGTGTTCAAGGCCAACCAATGCAGTGTTAGTGCTTACAGATCACACATGAAAAAACATTGGCAATGTACACCACCTCAAAATAGACATTCCAAGCAGACTGTAAGAAACCAGCCACATTTGAAAGTCATCCAGGCTTGCATTTCCCCATGTGGTTCTCATTTTCCTGCCCCCTAAAAAAAGCACACTTCCGGGTTTCACACGCGCAATAACCTTCTGTGAAGTAAATGGGGGGTAGTAATGGTGAAAGAATGAAACCCAGAAATAAACTCAGAACTTTGGAGAGCTTACCTTGACCTTTCCGGCTGCTGATGTCTGCCAGAGTCTCTATGGTGACTGACTGGGGGCCATTATTCCTGCCTGGGGAAAACTGGCTGCTGCTTTTACTTTGGCATTGCTGTACTTCACATTTGCCACTGTTTGTCTGCTCTTTCCTCCTGAAACGACTGGTTATGAGCTGCCATATGCTGGGCTCTTCCTGAGTGCTTTTAGAAAGTTTGGAGGGACAGAGGGGTACCTCCATAACTTTGACCTTCCCCATGCTATGGTATTTTATGTATTGCATAGTCCCGTCGTCCACCTTCTCGTTAGGTGTGGGAAGGGTCCTTCCTGTGAGATATGAGAAAGGCCGCAAAGGTACTGTTGTCTCCTCTGTGATATTTTGAATTTTCATAGAGTCTTTTGTATCAGCATCACGAGATCGAGACCGCCGTATTCGCAGACTTAAACTCCGTTTTAATGAACTCAATGTACTTTTTGGAGTGTCTGACTTATTAAACTTCACACAATCTTCATTTTCTCTGTCTGTATTCCTATCTTGAGCTTTACCAAACAGCCTCCGGAAGCCTCCTTTGAAGAAACTCATACCTGCCCCTCTGTGACTGTCACTGTCATCCTCAAACCCCTGCTTCCTCAGTTCAAGCACGGTCATACTGACAGGCCTGGGTCTCCAGCTCCGGCCCCGGACCCTGGGGGTCACCTCAGGTGGGAGCAGGGGCCGTGAAGCTGGTAATGCACCCAGACCATCCACTGCCCTCAGCTCTGCTCTCCTGGTTCTCAGCTGAACAGCCTCAACAGTGCTCTGCCTGCTGGTGGGTTGGCGGACCTCTGGCTGTAAAGGTCCTGGAGCCAGCATGCACACGCTCCTGGGTCGCCGTAGCCTCGGTTGTGGTTCAAGTGGTTTTGCTTCCTGTTTATGCTTGGCTGGTTCTCCATACATGCTCATCGTCCTTCTGTCCAGAGTGCCCTGACCCTGACATGGTCTCCTCAGCACGGCCCGGGGCAGAGAGCTGTTCCCCCCCACTGGACCATGATCTCTGCAGAGCAGCCTGGGGGTAGGGAGCGTGACGGAGTTGTGGATGTAGTGCTTTGGACCGTCTGTCTGCAGAGCAGCCTGTGCCTCTTCTTTATCCAACACTAAATAGTTCCTATAAGGCTGCTCCAAAAACCAGTTATCCATCATTTTCCCCCTCTCTACCCAATCCTCTTTCCCACACAGCCCCCCAGCTGTACCTGTGCGGCACAGGGAGGGTGACCTGTTGAGCTCATGCCGTGCCCTGCCCGGTCTGGGGCTGTTCTCCATTAGAGGTACACTCATTATTGCTCCTCCCGGCTGAAGCTCAACCTGGGTGTGGGTGCCCTGGCCCATTCTCTCTGACACCAGCTCATCTCTGTGAGACTCCTTCAAAATTAGATTGTATATGTTTTTTGTCTGCTGCTGCTGCTGTGGGGTAAAAGTTGCAGTCCTCAAACTTGTTTCCACTGTCCCATTGCTAAGAAAGAGCATTGCACTCCACTGCCACAGTTTAACGCAGGCTTATCAAAAAATGAAAAAAGAATTCAGCCAGTGAAGTCCTTTATTTGAAGGAAAAATCCATTTCATTCAACTTGGAAAAACAGACAAACTTGGATCAAGTCTGCGCATCTTGTGTCTTCATCACATATCCCTCTCTCACATGCGCAAAGGAAGTTTCTCAGCACAGTTCTGATACCTGTCCCGCACACGCAGCGGAACAAAAGAAAAACTCTGAATCCAACTTCTTTTGTAACTCAATGTAAAGACTGCAAATTTGAAGTTAAAAAGTTGAAAATAAGTTCCTTCCACACAGTGCACATTCCCGGTTGTTGGCGGAGCAGACAAACCCCTTAATCTCTGCGCTCCTGCCATACCGACCATGAGGGAGTGTGTTTGAACTTTCAGCTGCCTTCCACCCCCGGGAAACATGCAAAACAAGGAGTGGATCTCTCAAGCTCCCTGCACATCCTGCTTTCTCTAAAGTTAAGGCAGCCTCGAGAGAAACCACAAGACGAATGCAACAGACTTGAACACACAGCACTTGCAGTGAACAAACATAGCCAAATAAGCCAGATATAGTTATTTAGGTTATGTTCTCATCTTAAACACAACATCAATGTCTTGCAGAACAACTGTGTGACAGAAGGTCATCTATATTTGCCCTGTAATATAAAAGAGGATACATCTCTTACTAACAGTTACTACAGAAAAGTCGAATTTTAAACAGATAGAAGCCTTTAACATAATACTAAATTTAAATAAAACATGCATAGTAAAATTTTTATGTGACTAAACAAAAGGCTATATTAAGTTTGTTTATACAGTTCCACAGGGAATTAAAAAGTTAAAACAAATTTGCCATATCAAAAATAATTCAGTGCATATTCATTATTTCCTCAGTGGCTTCATTACGACAAGAGTAATTTGCAGATGACAGAACTAAAATATGGTTAAATAACTATAGTTTAGGAAAAATTCACACATGATGACTTTGATTCTAACACTGCCCCATTGTGGTCAAAAACAGACCTGCTCATTTCATACAAGAATGGCTCCACATTACAATTGGGCCTCTATAGCCTCAGATATGTATGCATGTTCTGGCTGAGAAAAAATAAACTAAAAGAAGATTGTCTACTTTGGATCATATTCTTTTGACATACAGTGCCTTGAGAAAATATTCATACCCTTTGGAATTTTGCACATTTTATCTTGTTGCGATTACAAATATGAAGATACCAAAAATATCTCACAACTGCTGTAGACAAACTTGAGTTGTTTTGCAATGAAGAATGAGAAAAGCATATAGACAAGTACACCCTAACACAGATTAAATATCAGGAAACAGCGCTTCCAAAGCATATTAACTACTACTAATACTTTTGCAAGCACTTTTCAGTACATCATATACATTCAGGCGCCTGCCATTTTGTGTAGGTCTTAAAAACATCCACTTCAATATATTTGTGTTTGTGGTCATAAGGAGACATGTGTGGAAAAGTTTTTTTACTTTTCAATACTTTTCAAGGCACGTACATGAACTACAAAACAGACTTTTGCAGAATAAGAAATCCTCGCCACAAAAAAATATCCTACTCAACATTTCTTGTAGTTTGTTCACCAAGTCAATACATGAATCTAGTGAATGTAATCCTTCTTATACAATGCCATTTCCTCCAATGTCCTCCTGGATAAGCGTCTACAAGCAGCTACAAAAGCCAAGTAACCTTTACCTGTGTCGAGAAAGTAGGGATTGGGAATATGGTGTGGCTCATCTGAAAGTAAGCAATCAGTGTCGCTCCAGTGAAGAGGCTGTCGAATCCTTCTCCGACTTCCAAAGCAAAGCAGCATTGTCAAATTTCAACTTCAAATGGCATTTCCCCCTCCTCAAAAACAGCTGTGCTTCATGCAAAATTGCTGGTGTCGTTCCAATACTTCTCCCAGTAATTACCAGGTTACAAGAAAGAAAGCCACCACAGTCCATTGTATCCTTTCGTTTTTCATGATACTACTTGACGTCCTCCTCCAAAGCGTAGTCAACCGCGTACACTAGCCGGGCAAAGTTCGCTCCGAGTCATTTCCTCTTGGTACTTGAGAATACAGGTGTAGCTTTAGAAGGGTTTTTCGTTGAGATGCAGCTAATGGCATTAAAGCTAATCCCTTTGTCTACAACATTATGGTTGAATCCAAAGGGGACCAACGGCGTCGTAAATCTGAGAAAGTGCTGACCAGGTAACAGAGCGCTCCTTGTCTTCCCCCACGGCTAAGTCTTTCAGCTTCTTGTAACTATATCTTGATGGTAGCTGGGAGGGTTGGAGGCAAAAAAAAACTGGACGGACATGTTTTGAAGTTCCTGAATGTTTTGTGTGTGTGCAATAAAGTTTGTGAATCTCATATGCGTCACATGAGGTTGTTTTGCAAGTGTATAACTTTTAACCTGACTGTCCTACTGCGCCCCGAGGCTGTGTTTTGTCTAGTTCTGCCTTCCAAGCAAAACATAACTCCAACAGAAATGTTCAGAGAGGGATGCTCATTATTCAAAGCTCACATTAAGTGTAGCACCATGCGTTCCCGATCGTGGTACAATGCATCAGCAATCATCCTTCACCTTTATTCTTAGTTCAAGTGTTTTCAGAGGTTAGACTTGTGACTGAATCTGCAAACATCCATAAGGGATTCATCTGAAAATCTGAAAACTTGAAATGATTCTCCATTTAATTGCTTGTCGTTAAGAATCCTTTTTTTCCTTCTTTTTTTTATACTTTATTGGACGTTTTTAACAACTTTTTACAATTCAAAAGACAAATAATAATAGATACATTGTCATCATTCACTTCACCTAAAACATTTTTGCACTTAGACATGGGTTTTGAACATGTTTTCCAAAAAGTGTAATAACATAAATATTAAATGAAATTAAAAAACAGAAATTGACAAATATATTCTTGTTTACACATACATACATATACCCACATATATACGTGAATACACATATACACACAACATATCAACACAATGAACAGTAGCCAATAAACCAGGGTGTGGTGTGGGTCCCTTCTATTTTTCCGGTATTCCTGCCCCAACCTAAGAATCCTTTTCAATAAAAATTTAAATGACTAAGAGTAAATTTGAAGGAGTGAAACATTTCCATTGGCTTTAATCTAAACCTTGTGTGTTGCGAACTTGATGTTCATTAAACTTGTCAATTTGTGGGTTGATTAATCGAACAAAGCATGAGCAGATTTCAAATCAAATATATAATATTCCGGGCAATCACCGTAACTCAGTATTCAATTATACGGTGGGTCTCCAAACAGAAGAACTGAAACCAGATTCAATTATGTTAATGTCCATGTGCAGTATTCAAAGTAAATAATGTTTTACTTCTTATGGTGCATTGCTAAACTTCTTTTAGCAATGCACCAAAAAGCTTTCAAACATACAGTCTGCTGACGAAAAAAACGGACAAGGTTTGGGTTCTTTCCGGTGGCGCAGCAGACAGGACAAACAGTATGTTGATATAGACTCAGCGTGACAGACGATGCTGTCTGGCAGATTGCATGAGGCATTTGTACCACATGGGCCCAGCTTATACCCACACTCATCCAGCATTAGAATGAGTCAGCATCATGTGTGTGCATATAGTCTCCATCCTGCAGATCATTTATCAATATTGTGACAAGACATTCTATATGTGGCATTGGAATTAGCTATGGCCGATCTCCCTATATGTTGCAATATTTGTTTACTTTATATACATTGAAGAGCTTGTGATTATCTGTGAATCTGCTTCATACATAAAGATTACTTACCGAATTAAGTATTGGCGGACGCATGTTTTCCATCTAAATTACAGATTATATCTCAATCTCCGAGTTGAGAAAAATGAAAAAACTTACAGTATTTTTATATCTAGTAAATTATCACAGTAGAAGGTGAGGACAAATTAATTTTGTTGTTTTTTTGAATGACTTTTGTTTGTTGTTATTGTATTTGTCTTGTTATGTTGCATTTTATTCCAGGTGTTGATAATCGCAATCTAAAATAAATTTTGGTACAGCTCTACAAAAAGCTATATTCAATGTATGCCATTCTGACATCTATCCCTTCTTCTCTGTGACACGTGTTGGTGTGGCTAATGTCGAGAGGAGTGACTTTTATATGACTGAAGTCTGTGTTAAAACCGGAGAGTCATAAGTTCTAATAAGGAACAACATGGGGACTTTGACAAGACACTGATGTCATTGATTTAAATATAAACTAGTCTGAAAGGGAACCAAGTCTCAGGATGTCTGCACAAAAGATAAGTGAACAATAACTATCTCCAAAATAAAATCTCAAACTTTAGCGTAATAAAGAAGCAAGTCTATAACCTTGATCTTTAGCATAACAAAGAAGCAAGGATTAAGAATTGACCCCCTGACATGTGAGCGTAGATAACTCAGAATGGAGCTATAGCAAGCAGAGTCTGTTGATAGTCTGTGGACTAATAGAAAAATCAATGAATTTCAAAAGAAAAAAGTTCAGGATGACATGGCACACTAAAATCCCCACAAAATCTGACCTTTGTGAAAACTGTAATTTCCTGTCAGCTTTAGTTTTAGTTTATATCAAGGTCTATCTAGCCCATGTGGATTTGAGCTACAGTGCCGAGGGTGACCCCTTGTCCATGCTGGAGATGGGTTTAAACTTTAAACCCGTCAATACCTTATCTAGATGATATAATACATCCATGGAAAAGACTGGACGAAATAGAAATTTGGATAATAGCCTGCGGTGATTCATGTGACCTCAGTAGAAGTCAGGACACTGATTAGCGCCATCACAGAAGCAGAAAGATAAGAATTGTAAAA